CAAACAATAGTACACAAAACACAACATAGAAAAACTAAAGACTGAGCGACACGAACCCCAATAAAATCTGCTCCGGAAGGGTAAGCGGATCCTGTTTCACATGTGGCATCTGTCGTGTTGCTCAAGGTAGTACAAACCCTGTTTATCCATGTTTATCCGGTTTATAAAAATACCCATGTAAAATATAATAACTCTAATTTATGGAACATGCCTCTTAAAAATCACTAACACGTTTGTGTCGACTAGTTTCAGACATATATTCTAAGCTTCAAGAAAATGGAAAATCTAGCGTATGAAATTTAATAGTCGATTGAGGTATGGATGCGACTGTACGGTATTGGTTTTTCTCATTGTTGAAGGCCGTACGGTTCCTTATAATTGTTTACATTCACTTCATTTTAACTTTGGTGGATACTAGTAGTTCTCATTGGCAATTATACCACATCTCCTTATTTTTATTCGTTGATGGGATTTTAGTTTTTTTCGTTCCAAACTTATTATTTAGTTTCAAATAGAAACGTTTCTGCTTTTCTGTGTATACTATAAAGTTTAGTGGACATTTGAGAGAGAAAAAAAACCCACATTGTTATACAAAGGGTTAGCATGATTAAAAAGACGTAGATTATGAATTAATAAGACAGAAACCAATCGACAAATACAAGACCATAGTGTTTTAACAATAGACAGAATATCCATACGATATGGTTAGGTGCTTTCATTTATATTGTTTCGCTACTTGACAAGTTTTTTTTTATAAGTCCCTTGCCAAAAGTGATGGTAAATATTAAATTAAAAAAAATTGTATGGGGTATTTTTTTTAATAAATTCGTCTGATTTAAAAATATAGGAAAAATGAATGTAGTGTCCAGTTTCAAAACAGATTCTTGTTCATGTATGCTATTGAAATCAAAATGTTTGTAATACAGTCGAACAAAATTGTTCCTCCCGAAAGAAAAACAAGACATGCTCACCCCTAATCACATACACACAAAAAATGGTTGATGTCTTATTCGCCCATGTATTCAACAGCATATGAATAATCTTTAGAGAGTATATCAGAAATATATCCGCATTCAACATCACATTACTTAAAGGACAAAAGACTTTGCTTATTTATAACTATGAGAGTCAGTGCAGATGTTCCTGGTGGACAGACACGTGTGGCGAACGTGTATTCTTTTGAGGTTGGGATCACAACCGCGTTCCCTTTTTAATTCTAATCAGTTAAATATTAAAACCGTACAATGACGATCTGACGACTTAACTCCTTTTCAGCTGATTTGTACAGTTTGTTCTTATTTTGTGATACTATACCACTGTCCCAGGTTGAGAAGAAGGTTTGAACACCAGCTAACATATTCTCTTTGAGTCTGTCCCAAATCAGGAGCCTGTAATTCAGTGGTTTTCGTTTGTTACTGTGTATCATATTTGCCTCTCTTCTCTTTTTTTTGTGTATACATAAACCAGACCGTTAGTTTTTTGTTTGAAATGTTTTACTTTTGTCATTTCGGGGCCTTTTATTGCTTACTATGGGATATGGGTTTTGCTCATTGTTGAAGATTGTACGGTGAACTATAGTTGTTAACACCTACGGCATTTTGTCTTTTGTGTAGAGTTGTCTCATTGGCAATCACACCACATCTTTTTTTTCATTCTTATAATGAAATTCAGTTCAGACACACGTGTTTAACTCTTTAATATAGGTATGGTGTATTTACTTTTCAATGGTAAGATTATTTTTCACATTAGGTTTTCCTTACCTTTTTTACTATAATCGTATGTAGTTGTTTTTCTTAGCATATTTTGTAATTACACTTATCGTTTTAATGTGCTATAATAAGACCTGATATCTATAGAATGCATTTATATACTGGAATCAGTAGCATTTGGTTTTAAAGGCGTGTGAACTGGTGCATAATTAGAATAAATGTAGATATAACTTCAGTGGTCGGCGACGATAGGGGCGAAAAGTAACAGTCTCGCTAATTTTAAGATATAAAATGAGAGATTTTGTAAATTGATCGGAGATACATTCATAAAATTTGATAGAGCGCCTCGAGCGCCTCATTAAATTGGAAGGAAATAATTCTTTCCGATATCATAAATTATAAATGCATAACTGTGATAGGAACATTGGCAATTAGTAAACAATATGTTTCTTCAAAGACATTGATCATCACAAAACGATAAATCTACACAGAAACTGAAGATAAGAGCAGTAGTCTGACCACTTTAACTGGTCAATTGTCTTTTGTATGGAGTCTAAAATTCAAATGAATATAGGGATGTGTAGAGTATATGTCACTGAGACAACAAATCAAAGATTAAAATAACCAAAAAGACAGGTACTTACAGTGAGCATCAATTGGTAGATGTCTATATAATATGTCTAAATCGTCTCCGGTTTATAAAATTATGATTAAATTATTGAACACATATATCAAGGATATTTCATCATCGACAAGTTCTTTAAAGAAAGTCAAATCCATGAATCTCTCAATGAACTGATGGTTCTGATTTTTTTAAAAGTACTAGGGTGTAATAGTTTTGTTTGTTTGTTTGTCTGTTGATGTTTTTTAGGAGGGGGGGGGGAATTGCAACCAACCACTATATAAAGTTAAATAATAGTGCTGTTATTTTAAACCTAATCATGACAAAGTATATTTTCTGTTGTATATTCGCCTAGTTCGTTTTAGGTGTTGCAAGAGTTTTCGATTGGATGTTTCATTATACATGCGGTTTGAATTGTAGGCCGCAAAAGTTTTGCGCATGCTACTGTATATAGCTAATTAATTGTTTTAACACAACCAAATTCGAATTATGTTACAAGTTTTCACTTCATTTTACGTTTAGTCATGATATTGTACATTCTTATTGTTGACCTAAGATGGATATTGCTATAATTTCTTTTTTTTTTGTCAGTTTTGATCAGATAGCTTTTCGCGTTTATTTATTCTAATACATCCTTAGTTTTTGGTTTTGAGCGTACATGATGAAGGCACGGCAATCAAGAGAAGGCTTTCGAACGCATAACATTTATTAAGTTTAATTTCTTTTCTGTTTTATTCGACATGATTATCATTATCTTTTTTATTAACTTAAAAACATTTACATTTTCAAACTGCACTTTTCTGTCATTTTACACATGCATATACTTAAATAATTATTATTTCGTGTTTTGGCCACTGGTTTCTTTTTATTTCTTTATTTATTCCATTGTTATTAAAATCTATTAGATACAGCTAAAATCTTGTAATGTCTCATTTGTGGTATATGTTTAGCCTCTTTAAGATCAGTGTAAAATTTAAAAACATAATTTTACATGTATATATCTTGATATTATTTTTTGACTGTTACAGTATATGAGGCCAGTTCTTTCTAATCCCCTTTCTGTCGTAGTTGCAAGTACAACCGCATCACCTACAGTATAAAAATTGACCATTCAAGAGAGTTCAGGCTTCGTAGGTGTCCCTTTGCCTCCGGCCAAAGTATCCATGTCCATATACAGTGTTGGTCAGTTTTATAATGTTTACCTACAACACTTGAACGTATTTAAAATACAATAAAATTAGTCAAATAATTATTACTTGTCAATTTATTTAAATGCTACAAGTATTGGATTATCGATTTACAGCAATAAAATTGGGAAGTATTTTTAAAGTATTTCCGACAAAAATATCTTATCAAGATGATGCGCAAAGGATAATTTTAAAACTCTTAGCGTTGAAATAAATTTGAAGACTAAATAAAAAAAGCTCAATTATTTCATTTTATTTTGAATTATTTGACTACAATATTTTAATTATGAATTATTAGTGATAATCAAAATAATTATAATAAAATATTTTTAAATTTGTCACAAACTATGGAATACAACAAAAGGTCTCTATATCAATTTCTGCAGCATGTATAGTCTTGGAAAATCTGGGAAATTTGATGTATTTTAGAAGAATGTAAAAATATCAGAATTTCTATAGTCGTAATGTTTGAGATAATTTTGGTATCTTACAAATATTTGTTTCAGAATAGAGTTGAAAATAAAGCATTTCTACAGAAAGTAAAAATTAATTTGTTCAGGAATTAAATGTGAAAACTAGAGGGTCGGTGTCTTTTTATATTTTAATTGAACGATTACTTTTGTATAGCAGGCAAAACGATCCGTTTTAATTGAGAAGCTATGCAGTAAACTTTGTTCTTGGAACAGGATATAACTTTTTTATAATAAATAAACTGTTTAATTCTTATTTTCTTCTAAACAAGAAAAAGTGTTTCAGAAGTGAAGTTAAAAAAAAACACTATATTTTCGTTAAAATTTTTTGACTTCAGTAAAGTCATTGAAGTCTTCAATATTTAAATTTTAGCGCAATGCGCAAATGCGCAATTTTTTTTTTTGAAAGAGAGACTCAGTATGAATTCTACGCGTTAAAATAATTTCGCACTTTCTTGTATCACAACATGATTCTATGCTTTGAAATACTTATTGCGTACATATTACTAAAGTACATTGTACTAGTAAGTAAAATTGCGATTTGTTTACATCCAATTATCTAACAAGATAACTTTTCATTCAAATTGAAATAAAAACAATTAAATCTTATCAAATATTACATGTGGTTTTGACATTTATAGCACAACTTTATTCTACATCACCTAAATATATAGAAAAACGGAAATCTTTTGACTGAGCAGTCGTAAACTATACCGTAACTGGGGCTAGGTGGGTGGGTAATATATTATACGTGTGACATATGAAAGTATCGGGGTAAGTATTACCTGGGGAATTTAGTGATTGACTCATCTCCCATTTAATACGATCGTAAAGTCAATTGGAACGGTAAATACATTAAACGCGTGTCGAAGATTACAAATTCGTGTAAATAAGGCGTTCTTTACCCCTGCTAATTATGCTATATTAAAATGTCGCCCAGCCTCTCTTCGGTAAAATAGGTGATGTCAACTTTGTTTATAAAGCCCTTGTTGATATCGGAGAGTGACAGAGTTTGTTTAAAAGTTTCCGAAGTAGGATTAGAAGTCAAATAGCTGTAACTATGCCAAAATCTTTCCTAGTTAGAACCGGTAGAGAATTTTCCGAAGAAGTGGAAAAAGACTCTAGTAAGAATATTTATTTATTTATTATCTACATATTTATTTATCTTTTTTGTTTGTTAATTATCTTATCTTTCAGATAGTTAGCTGAGTAGCCTTCTACTGGTCTTAGTTCGAGTTTTTGTTAAATAATCATTTTATTCTGAAATTCTGAGAAATAGTAAGCTTAAGATTTAAAAGAAAAAAATACCTTTAATTGAAAATCCATCAGTGTTGAATTGTATTTTGATTCAATACAGTACATTGGTAATTGATGTGCGTCTTGATAATTTTTTTCATTATGATATGACTTACTTGAATCGTTATCAAAGTTTTGAATATATATTGTATATATATTAATAGATTTAATTTCTGGATTTATTCTATGTATAGATAGTTTTTACTGTGTTCCGTCTTTTAATAGTTTTTTATTTTGTGTTTTATAAATTTGTTTGTCTTTTCTTCGTTTTTCGTTTTTCGTTGTTTTTTTTTTTTTTGGCAAGGCGCTGTCAGTTTTTCTCCGACTTTGAGTTTGAATGTATATACTACCTCACTTTTACAACCAATAACTATACTTGTTTCATTTTATTCCTAATTTTAATTCGGTACAAAACAACACACTGTCATTCTGAAGGCAAAAAATCGGAAATAATTAAATTCAGAATATAATATATGATAAAGCAATCGGATTTTATTCAATTTAAAATATCGATGATCATTTCATTCTACCAATCAACACTTGTTATGGAATGTTCAGAATTCCATGAGAAAATACCAATTTCTGATATTGCCCGATACTTTTTTTCCTCACCTCTGTTAATCATCTGTTGATTAGTGATGACGGAATAGCAAAATCTTCCAAGATATACTGTAAGTCAGGAAATGTCTTTCTGGATGGCACAAAAAACTACAAAGCTGTCTTTTTCGAACATGAGATAATGAAAGAACATATATCATGTATATATCTAAAGTGTATTCTTTATGAAAATACGCATTTATATGTACTCGAATAATTTTTGATTTGAAAAGATCCTTTGCGTTTTTCGTTTTTTTGTCATAGCGCTGTCAGTTTTTTTTCTGACTAATGAGATTGAATATCATATAAAAGATGTCCTGTATATATTTTGTTCATTTTTTTTTTTTAATTTCAAAAAATTTAATCCTAATGTATTATTATATATATTTTTGCAAGTTTCGTTTGCCGATTTATTCAAGAGAAGTTTTTTTTCCATAAATTATGTTACAAATTTCATATAAAGCGTTCGTATCGGATGGATTTTGGGAATGTTCTATAAAGTGAAATCCTTTTAAATTATTTAAAAAAAATGTAAAGACTTATTATTACAATTTACTAAGAATAAAAAGACATGAATCGTGGTATATGTCAAATTGATAAATAAGTCAAAAGTCTTAAAAATAAAAGTGATGTATTAAACTGCGACTCCCTTACTCATCAAATAATTTCCAAAATATTTGTAAACCATTCCTCATATTAACCAGAAACTGAATCATAGAGTTAAATATGTTATCACTAGTCTCCAAAGTCAAAAGGTCAACTACTGTGCATGAAAAATGATTTTTGATAAAAACAATAGGATGAGGCCCTAGATAGGGATTTGGAATTAAAACTTTATTTCTGCTTAAATAGTTACAATTATGTAAATTAAAACAGTATACATTTAAATTTTTCTTGCTTTTTCAGTTTCTAATAAACTTCATAACATTAAACAGTCGTGTATTAAAATGCAAATTAATTAGCAAACGACATTCAAATTTATGGAACCCCCAAAACAGGTTCCTCAGTTCCGATAACAAGCTACAGAAACTGACATTTATTTTACATTTAAGGAAAACAGGTAATACCGAAAAGTGAAATGAATTTGTCGCCTGATTAAGATTGTCACAGTTAATTTTCATTTCAATTTAAAGCTCTACTGGTAAAATAATACATCATTATAATTTTGTTATTGTGCCAAGATAAAAGTACGGGAGTGCATTCAGTAATTAAATTGTGCGTACATTCAGAAAATAAATTTGTATTTAACAATGTGTTGAAATATTTTTAAAACAACTAATGTTATCATTTCCGAATAGACTTTGCCCGGATATGACACAAGAAAATCTGTGAAGCACAGATATATAAATTACTTTAAAATTTTCACCAAGCATTAAAACATGAAAACAAAATACACATATATAAACGTCAGTTTTCGAAAGTGAATGAATTTTCCAATCTTCTATAAGAAGTCAAAGTACTGCATTTTCGAACTGGATGCCTTTTCCAAAGATGGTAATATTTGCATCCGAATAACACTTTATATATGTTGCTGATTTCTTTTTGATTAACACAGACTATATCGTGCTTCAATGTCGTTATCTTTAAAAGACTAGAATTATCTTGCAAATATTGCGGCCAAATAACTTCAAAAAGTTTTAGTCAAATTGATATTTTTCAATGAATATCAACTATATTTACTTCTTAATACATCTAGAATACGTTCAATACAAACCTTTAAAAGTTTGGAAATGTAATATACTAAAATTTGTACATCTGAATACTTCTGTATTAATTACAACATACACTGTATTGTCAAGAATTTCAGTAAATTAGAAAAAAAATTATCATATATACTTTTGATGATGTTTATATTTTAAGTCATTATAGGAAGAAGAAATAAACATATATCAATACTGTTCGGTATCTTGTATATATGAGGGTCTGGATGTGTGTGTGGGGGGTTGGGGTGGGGGTGGGGGAGAGTCCTTCATTTCTGTATTCTTTAATTTTTTATGCCATTTTACTCTATTCTATTTACTTTTGCCCATTCGCTAATCTTTATATTTTAGCATCTCATTATTCTCTAATCTTTAGTTTTTTTGGTACATTTTTCTCTATTCTTTATATTTTTGCCGATTATTCCCTATTCTGTTTACACCCATCCACACCCTAATATACAATTCATTTCTCGCTCTTTTCATCTAATCGGCATTCGTATCACATAGACTTATTGTTAATATTTATGCAATATTTGCGACTGAACGTATAGAAAATAACAATCAACCAGTCTTTATATTAGAATTTCATGTTTTATTAGTCAATTACCATTCCTACACTGATTGATTTTAACAATTAAAAATTTTTTATAAGGGACACCAGAATTTAAGGACGAATTAACATCATAGTATATTTATATTTTATAACCTATGAATATACCATATGAGAGTCTTTGCATTAATTTTTTTTTATGTGTATATTTATATTTTATAACCTATGAATATACCATATGAGAGTCTTTGCATTAATTTTTTTTTATGTGCAAAATGTACCTTATAAAAATCTCACTTATATATTTACAACTCTAAACAAATATTATATCACCAATCATAAAGCATAAAAATTAACTACAGGATTTGTATAGTAATGAAAATTTTCATGCTCCGTTCCGACATTTACCTTATTAAATTAAGCCGTCCTCTAACAATACGTTTATTGGCCTACCCGCCATGACTTCACAGTTTTATTAACTTCTACATATTAAGTGTGTTTGTATAGCCGATGTGTTAATCTTGTTTTTATTTGGTGCGAATTATAACATAGATTTGTTCCGGTATAATAAAACTTTATTTGAATATTATCATTGAAATACAATATCGGTACGGATTTTGTCTGATAAGTGAGGTCAATTTAATTATTTAATTTCCTAATCATGAATGGGAATTATGTGAATATGGTATGTTTTAGTACAAACTTCTTTTGTGCAGACTTTTTGTACAAGCTATCATTATTTGAACAAGGACCCTCTTTTACAAAGTTGAACACGTGTATCTTCCATAAATACCCTGTTAGAAGTTTTACTTACAAGTGTATATACTTCAGTCGAACATTAATCACTGTCTTTATTAGCATATAGCTGCACCTGAGGTCACCAGATTTAGTAAAATTTTAGACATTATGTGCAGGAAAAATACCATACAAATTATAATTTGTACAAAAGTATAACGTGCACAAAGGTATAACTTATACAAAGGTATAATTTGTACAAAAGTATAACGTGCACAAAGGTATAATTTATACAAAGGTATAATTTGTACAAAAGTTTAACTTGTACAAAATTTTTGAACATTTCAGAAACTTTTTGTTTGCTTTTTAGAAAAACTATAGTGGGATAAAATTACAATGTCCTGTATCATCGTCAGAATTAAAAGAACAAGGCTTTTAAACATTAGATCTGTAATGATATTAATTGTTTGAATTAATCCATTTTTTTAAAAGGGGGAAAACCTCGCTCATTTTTATCCAAATATAGTCGTTATCATAGTTAAAATTTATAATTTTTCTCTTATAAGGGTAGGAATGCCCTTTACCTTCAAGCGTCAAACGTCGTTTTTGCGCTACCGTTAGCGTCAAATGAGCCTAAATTTTTTTTTATCGTCATTCGTCAAATCTAATTTTGTAGTTACTGTTAGTGTCAAATGGAGTAAAATATTTATCGATAACGTTATTTTAACAAATATTTTACCGTCATTCGTCAAGTGGGGTACCCGATTACTACACTACCCTCTTTTATCGCTCTGATATGATCTTGCCTTGGACGGGGACTAACAAGACAAGTCATTACAACTTTACATCTTTATTCTCTCATCATATAACAACTAAAACAAAAACAGTATACGGGTCCGACCTTACACCATAATAACCTGAAATAGCCCGACCTCGAACCGGATTCAACCGTACTTCATAACAGCTCAGAATAAAATGTATATTTTATATATTTTCAGGCACAGATATTGCACTACCACAGTTCGACAAACCAAACCCGCAACAAATACTGGACTTCACCCGTTCCTATCTGATGCCGTGCCCATACACAACATATGCTTCGTCACTATTATCGGGTGAAAACTCTTTAGTTAACTCAGAGAGGATGTCAGCAAGTCCGCTACATGCATTTCCGTTTCCGGCGTACATGGCTTTCAACTCATATACCATGAACCAGTTCAGTTATTCCCCTTTGTTGTCTTTGATTAACACAAGTGAAAATGTGGAGAAAATGTACAAGGACACAATTTGTGAATACCGAGAAAAACAAGGATTATGTAGTGGTAAGTTTGACTTTATAGAATGATTTATTTTCACCAAAAACTAATGTTTCCCAAATAACGACAATTTATTTTTCCGAAGAAACTGGTTTTGGTGGTTTGTATGTTGTAATATCCAATATTGCTGCTGATTCCTGGTATCCCTTTTTTGTAAATTATTTGTAAATGGTGTTCACTGTTCAGCAGCTTATGAATGATTAGTTACATTAGCAAATGTCGAAATACCACTATGTTGATATATTATACTTAGAATTTTTGGGAAAATAGCTATAACCTACAGCATATATAGTCAAAGACATCATTTTGAACCTGGTGTGTAGTGCTTCTCCATCTTTGAGGGGCGCATGGCGGCATCGATAGATATGTTGGGTAAAATGTTTGATGATGTGTTGGGGTTCATTTAGTGTTTAATCCTACATATAAATAGAAATCCGCATCCATGTTAACAAAGAGTCGAAACATTTGCTTGTTTAGTGCTTCCTTGTACCTTGAGACGGGTTTTAATATGTAACTAGGATAGCCCCAATGACGTAATAAAAAGGCTATTTAGATTCATTTCTTAGGCCTATTCCGACCGCAATGATTCGATTACTTCTATTTAAAACTTGCATGAATCATTTCTTGCTGACTACGCTGTGTTGAAAAATAACATTGAAAGTTTCTCATTAGAGGCCAGTTTGAGACAATGTACATATCAATCCCTCAATATGTTGAATAGAAACTAGTTAAAGTCAAATAAAAAAGTATATATATTTGTTTGGTGTGTCCTCCTACAAAATTTAAAAGGTAGCTATAGGTCGTTATGGAAAAATTTTTTCAATTTTGCTCAATTTTTGACACGGAAACCGTAAAATTAGTCACGCTATATTACCAAAAGTGGTAATAAAAAATTCAGCGTAGCGTGGACATTTTGGGCATAAACATAGTTTTTTTTTTGGGGTGGGGGTGGGCGGATGGAAACACCAAACAATAAAAAGAATGTGGTTTATTTTTAAATTTCGGCCAAACCATTTGCTGATATGTCTTACTTCAGTCTGTCAATGAATATTTTCATGGTATATTTATACTATTAGTATTTTCTCAAAGATACAAGGAAAATGACGGAATTACATTCCGATGGTATATAACCCACTTGACCCTAGGTACTCTTTATCAATTATAATATATTAACTTCTGTTTCGATCAGTAGAAATACTATACATGATAACACCCAATAAAAACCTCGTTTTGATATTGATATATAACGTATCAAACGTGTTTAAAACCAATAAAACCCCATTGAATCATAGTGGAAAGGATGATCAAAAGAAATATTTGTTGACCACTTCAACTTACTTTCAATTTTACTTCTTGTGTTGAATAAATAATCACAGTATTTCTGGTAGCATATCTTAAGGGTTTTTTAGTAACACCCATATTTCATGTTAAGATGTTGTTTATTTGATCTTTGCTTTAAGTTAAGAATCCTTCTTTTATTCAAAAGCATTGCTTACTTCAAACATTGTCTTATCGATGTAGTAAATATTTTTGACGAGGTGGATCAAAACTACATATCGTCTATACTGCGCAACATTTAAACGATCATAGAATGTAAATCTACGCCGTACTTTTTTCAAGTATGCAGTTTAATGGTTGCATGGAGCATGATAAATTTGATACATAAGATATGAAAGCAAGCATAATCGATGGTAGTTATATTGCAATTTGGTTTGGGGGCAAAATACATTTTGAAGCAAGAAATTCTTCTTTTTCATAAAAGCTTTTCTGAAAGTAATATCCTTTTCTTTTCACATCTTATGTTATTTAAAAGAAGCCAGTCACACGTGGTTAGACTCTTTAGTCGTTGTTTCATTATCCTTAATTTGCACGAAAGATGCAGTTGGGAACTTTAATTCCGTTCATCATTGTTCCGACAATATCCAGTACTCCGTTACAATGTAACTAATTGATGCATCATAGGTATTCTGCCTATAGATCAGTCTCGCACTTGTGAAGAAAATTGTGTAAAATTTGACTACCACTTTGCATTGAAGTTTTTACACTCTTTATAATTTATTAAATTTTCTTTTACAGTAAAATCAGAAGATGTTGTGAAACCAAAACCTAAGTTTGATTTTGCTAACTTGGCAAGGTCTGCAACACAGGATTCCGAATGTCTTGACTGCCATCGGAACCAAGACGCACAAATTATCAGTCACGTGATGATGAATATAGGGAATTTAAGGTAAAATTGTACACACTATAAGTTAAAAACCCAAAAAAATAAATAAGACCTTCATCATTCTTTTGAAAAGTAAATAGTTTATCCCCAATTATGTAACCACGAGGAGTGCATATTAAGTCCATATTTTCGTATATACCATTAAATTCGTGTTTTATAAACAATAATTTGTACATAAATGCAATACTTGTCTTCGGATTTTTACAGTTTTTTCTTTATAAGTTTTTTTAAAGAAATTTATATTGTTTATGTATTCATTCATTCCTTTCTTTTTTCTTTTCTTTTTTTATTTTTAACAGACGTTTTTATTCTTTTTCAGATATAACCCTTTAACAAGTAGTTTCACGCCAGTATCAAATCTACGGTCAAACGTTCCACAACCTGTTAAGAGACCGAGAGGCAGAGGTCCAGCTAGGTAGGTTTTTGAAAATACAAAGTTGCTTCTATGCACGAAATGCAAATTTGGAATGCGCAAATATTGCAAGAAAAAAACTTTATAATACAAAATGGCAAAATAAGTAAAAAGACAATATCAGAAAACATACAAAAGCAGCAAATATCGCCCGAGGTCGTCTGTCATAGAACTACATCCCAGTTCATTGTGTGCCTTCTTTGGTAACATTGCAGCTATTCATTTTGTTTACATTGATTTTATAGTGCTTAGTACCTGAATGGAATATTCTACTAGATAAAGTTTGTGCAACACGACATGGTATCTTATATTTTGTACTTTTTGTTATCTGAATAAATGTACTAATACGCGAACAATTGTCATTGAAGAAAGGGGTTCTTTTGCTCATTAATAATAGTTCAACATTATTTCTAAATAAACATTTTCTTTCAGAACGAAGAAAGAATTTATTTGCAAATACTGTGGTCGCCATTTTACAAAGTCATACAACTTGTTGATTCACGAGAGAACACATACTGACGAACGTCCATATCCTTGTGAAATTTGTGGAAAAGCATTCAGACGACAGGATCATCTTCGAGATCATAGGTATATTTTTTTTCTTTCATTCATTTCGCAGATCATTATAGGAGTTAACTTTAAGCTTTCTAAAAAGCTGCAGAGTGCTTCGTAGTATCATAAATTACGTCAACATGAAGCACATAACATATACACATTGAAACAATCAAATAGTTTCTTTAATTTTTTCCAGTTTAATTTAGTTCAATCCAAGTAACGTTCTTAAACGATTCTTTACATTTCAAGAGAATTATGAGAAAACTTTTAATAACAGGTATTTTTTGTTATTACAGGTATATCCATTCCAAAGAGAAACCATTTAAATGTACGGAGTGTGGTAAAGGTTTCTGTCAATCACGGACCTTAGCTGTTCATAAAACCTTACATATGCAGGTATGTACAATGTGAAAAAGGGGCTCTGCTAATCAATAGATTGGAGATACCAGAGCTATGTAAATATGCATATGAATAAAAGGCGATGTGGGGTATTGGCCAATGAGACAGCAAACCAACGATAGAAGTAACCAAAATAACAATGGACAGGTGTCTATATAAGCTCGAAATCTTTTTGAGTCTTTAAACAAAATTAGTCAATGAAATAAACAGAAACTATCTAAGATCTGCCATCAACACAAATAACAAAAAACAACATTACGATAAAATGAGTATAATATAGTAGGATTGCGCGCCTTCTTTGTTTTAAATTCAAAAATACATGAAATTACCAATATTGCTTCAACTCTGAAACCCTTGGACTAAATCCAACATTTGTATTTACGTTAATATTTGATGGTTAGTCTGCTGGATTGTTTAGTGTTCGGATGAACCATGAGTAATATTAAAAGAAAGGTCCAATTTTCATATATTTATTGTTTTTCGTTTCAGCAGAACTCCCTTCCGAGACCTACAAAAACATCTCCAGCAACGATAACATCTTCAATAATATGAACAGACTATGAGAGTGTCATGTTGTGTTTTGTGCAATACTGTGACTTCTTTTCATTTTCGAATTGAAGTAGGGGAGATAACTTTGGATGTAAATGAACTTAAAACGAGTGATTTCCCTTCGCTCGTTTTGATATACAACAAACACTACCTCAACTGGATAAAATGATCCCTGAATTCCAAGAAAATAAAATCAACGAGAGAAAAACGATGAAGTGATATAATGCATAATAATTTAAACTATTGCCGCAACTTTGTAAAATTGCGATACATGTTTAAGTGAAAAACTTATTTTGAAAAACTGATCTTTTCTTGTGTACTAATAATATGAACTTGAGTGCTTAATTATTTGTAAATAGTATATTTATTTGCATGAACAATCTAGTCGTTTAGAATTTAAAGTGAATATATGATATAATGAGCCACATTGTGCAATATATGTATATAGAAATTATCACTTAATGCAATAAAACTTGAAATGTTATTTGTTTGTGTGTCTTTATAAGACTGAAATTGTCTTTCCTGAAGCTCATTTCCGGTATAAAGAATATGACTAAAATTGTAAATTTCATTAAGAACCCGAGGCAACGATAATCCTCTTTCTGATATCAATTCGCCTCTGATAACTATCATGACTATCATTTCGTCTGTAGCATACACTTATCGAGCTGGAAATACTGGTTGTTGAATGTTTTTGACTCTCATCTTTGTTCTGTATAAATTCAATATTGTCACAAACCAGTACTACTTCTTAGTGAGGGAAGAGGGTCTGGATGGGATAAACCGAATATAGAATAATGGATAAAAGGTATAAAGAATAGAGAAACATAGACCAAAAAAATAAAGAATAGAGAATAACAGACAAAATTTATAAAGAATAGAGAAAAATGGTCGAAAAAAACCCATCATGACCCTGAGGAAAATGACTTGATACAAAATTATTTGAATCAGATTCATGATTCTCGGACAAAATAAAAGTAAGAAGATAGCACAGAAGTAATCAAACGTCGTGAGTCTATCTAAGAAAGAAAGACAACACTACAAGGGAAAGAATGGAATAAAATAGCCCACAATACATGCCCATTACGCTGAAAACAAGCGATTGTGCAACACACTCGCTAGCAAAAAAAATGGGTAAACTTCAAATGCATCGAAAGGGTAAAACTTCGGGAAAAGGTCTATTAAATTCTTCAATGTTTCGGTTCTTATGCATCCTTGGATTTCAAATATTCGGCTTTGAGCGTTCCTGGTGAAGGTGAATCTAGGAAAGCGCTTTGGACGTTTAAAATTTATAACGTGTTGTTTACATTTTTCAAGTCTCACTGTGTGCCATCTTGGATCAAGTTCATACTAAACCAGCCAGCCATGTTCAAAACGCTGTTTTTGATTAATCTTTATTAGGAACACTTCGAAACAATAGTCTCTTTAAATATAATGGAACAAATATAATTATAGTATAAAATGCGAGTACCCAATTTTTGACAGTTTTTTCCACCATTATTTGTTTAAGAAACAGACAAAAACTTCCATTCTGTGTTTGTTTTGTTGGTGTATCCTTATTTACTATTAAGTTCCACAAATTTAATATTTATTCCATACTGAATCACAGAAAAATGAGGTTTGAATCGACCCCCGAAAGATCCAATATTCTCTAATGAGGAGAACCTAAATTGCACCATGCTAAACTACACATCCGTCAAAATCGAATAACCCATGTTTTGCTTTAAGTTTCCACTCTTTTTTTTTTAGCAATTTGACAACAGTTCATGCTTGTTATGCGTTTTGTATGAAATTGAGGTCTTTGAGATATTTTAATTTCTCATTTTTAAAAACCGAATATTTGAAGACATCGTATGCAACGTTTCTGTAAATTCTACTTTTTCCATTGGAGACTTCATCTGTTGATACATAATATGACCATTTTGTGTATCTTTAAGCATATTTAGCTATGCTCATAATGATAAATGTTAGAAATACTAATTGTTTAGGCTTTAAGAAAACAGATAAGATATCCGTCACTTTTTATGAAAGTGGATGCAAATTGGGTAGTCGGTGCAATTTGGATTCTTTTTAATAACTTACCGTTGTCTATATAGAATAACGAAACGTGGTAGCTAAATCTTTAGTTTTGTTTTATAAATAAATTGTCTTCATAAGATATTTTTTTTAAATATGAACCAAGACTAGTTTGCAAAGCCAAACTCCAAATTACATGTATACAAGGTGGATGAAAACCTAGGAAACTTGCAGTTGCTGGTAGTTTAATTGACGACGTGACCGAATCAGAGGTAAATATACATAATTTTCAGACTTATTTGCAGTACGGAAGTGCATTTATGTTTAAACTTTTATTCATATGAAAATAAGGAGATGTGTTATGATTGCCTATGAGACAACTATCCTCCAATGTCAAAATGACGTAGACAAAAGCCACTATAGTTCAACGTACGGCCTTTAACTGTGAGAAAAACCCATATCGTATAGTTTGCTATTGCAAATATACACATTGTAAAACAATTCAAACGAGAAAACCAACGGTCTGATTTATGCAAAAAAAAAAAACAACCAATAAACCAAATTTGAAATAAAAAATGACAGACGCCAACAAATGACAACAACTGGCTTACTGGCTCTGGAATTGGAACAAAGAGTGTTTTAAACGAAATGTTCGAAATGTCGATTAAGAATAAAACGGTTTTAAAATGTAGGGGCAGAATCGCTTAATGTCAAATTTGGTTGTCGGGGTCGCTTTCTTGTAAAAAATGGACAACAGATCATCAGAGAGTGTATTAATATTCATGCCAAAAAAGACATGGTATACTTTATCTTAAATTTATTTGAAGATCTTTGAATGTAGCTTACAGATCAAATTATGCACATGTATTACCTATATGACTCCTTTTAAATTTCATTTGAGGAAGCCTAATTTCAAAAGCTAAATATGTAGGATTCAAAAACTGCAAATAAAGAGAATAAAGTAATGCATTGCAAGTTTCGTTGAAATTAATTTTGGGGTTATAGAGGAGTGACTTACAATACAGCACTACAAGCAGTGTCGTTAATTTGATTTCAACTTAAATCATTGGAACCCTTAATGCAAAGATATAAAAAAAAAAAGAATTCTCAACTTTACTATATGGTACAAAAGTGATAAGAATTTCATTGAAAATCGATTCAGTAGTATCAGGGGAAAGGTTCACTTTACTGGAGAATACCAAATTTTTACCACCCCGTATGGTAGTCTTTCTTAAAAATCCCACACGTACTGTTACGGAAACAGAATTAATAATCACACTAAACAAAGTAAGGGACACGTGTTCTTTATATCTGTTCAATGGCGGAAATTAGAATTGAAGATGAACGTTAAACTTTTTTAACTTTCTGCTATAGCTTGCTGTGTATAAATATCATATTTATGACGTTATTAAGTCTGCCTTAAGTTGAATTAATAAGACTGTTGAATGGTCACATATCGGCCACTATCCATCTTCACAAGCTCGTTTTCTGATTGAAGTCTATGTTTTTGTTCTTTATCACGGTCGAACCACTTTCATGATCTTACCTATTTGATCTGTGCTCGTCGTGAATAATCACGAAGAAATTGGAAATGTACGTTCATGAAACAATTATTACCCAATCAGTAAATGTATCGTATCAGACTCAATGTTTGCGTTTCCCCATAAGACTAAATGTATCTGTCAGGCTGTGTCATAACTTGCCGGTTGTTCTGTTGTTCGCTTGCTCTTTTTCTCCATTAAATTAACATAATGTGATGTACGAGTTAGTTACCTTTTGAATCTTCAATCTTCTTTGCCAGAAAACGCCTCGGTGGTCTCGTGTTTAGTGTGTTCGCCTCGAGTGCGTCAACCCAAAGACTTTAAAATTGGTAGTTATCTCTTCTCCGCTATAAACGAGGCATTAAGGAGTAAGAACAAACTTTAAGAATGGCCATCTTAATGTGTACGGATTGGGTGACACGTCTTCCTGTGGACTCTCAAACTTCCCGGCAGTTCCAGCTTCTATCCGCATACTACTCTACACTTATGATGGAGTAAAGGAAAATAGTTCCGGAACGGAAACCATCACTGTACTTGTGAACTAGCACGTTAATAATCCGCCTCAGCGTGTCGGTCTAGTACAAAGAAGGGTTAATATACATATATCATTGACATGTTCTCGTCCTGAATATGCATTGAATCTGCCGCTGAACATTAAGCAGCCATCCATCATCATCTATAGTGCCAGAAATGTCCAAACTTTTGTCTCCTGACAGATTTCATAAATTTACAGATTTGGTGCTTCACTTTTTACTTATATATAATTACAATCTATTGAAACCTTTCTGTATCTTATTATTGATCTGCTTGTAATTTTAAAACATGATTGAAAGTAAAAAAAATGTTTATCTTTGATAGTGCATACACATTTTTAGTCTATGTCGACGAATATCTAAATGGATTACAACATGTATAAATACCAAGCCATTGTGATCAAAATTGGGGAGAGAGATGACTGTGAATGACAGACCAGATCAATACTTACTTCCTGTACATACAATATATCTTTGTAATTATACCTCCTTAGTACGAGACTCGTGCCAGACAAAATTTCAACCATAAACATAATGCCATTTTTCACGTGTCATTTACATCTTTGACCGACTTTTCAGAAATTACCTTATTGATTTTTCTTCTGAATTTGTTCCAGTACTAAACAGGCATTTATGTTAGCCACTGATAGATAAGATTAAGCTAACCTTTTTTATCCGCAGACGTCTCTTTTAGTATGGTTGTAGACTGGTCTCTTTTTTTTTGTAACATGGTGCTTGGAGATAAGCACTCGTATGTTACAAACGTGAGAGAACTAACATAGGGTTTCTTTTATCATTTGGTTTCGCATTTGTTGCTATCTACCCCACATAATTTTTATTCAAAAAGGCAATTATTCGTTTGATTATTTATCCGCTGCATACATTCAACATTACAAACAACGCTTAAGTTTCATTTAGACTACAGGCACCTTCAGATATTTTTATCTTAGGACCACATCCAGTTTATACGTACACATCAATAACAATATCTTATATGATCTGGATAAACTTATTACGATGCTTCAACATTTCTTCTTACTTTGGTCATAGGTATATCATATTATTATACATGTGCACTTGTCTGAATAGAAAAGATCATTTTTGAATTGTTTTCGAATAATGAAGAGAATATTTTGTTAAAGCACGTGATATCAAAAGGACAACACTTTTTTTTTTGGATTTCCCAGTCTTAGGTCTCTACAAATCTGATTCGGGTGTTGAATTCTCAATTACTTCTTTTAACTTTTAATTACAAGGTAAATCTTTACAGTTTTAAATATATTCCTTTAAGCTTTCACCAAACAAAGCAAAAAGGTGTAATTTATAGCATGAACACAAACGGACGGTTTACTAATCATGAATTAATTATCGGAGATGAACCCGGGCTCGGTATG